CTCCCATGTAAACTATCACACAATTCACAATAAAACATTAAAAAAAAAAAAAAGAGAGAAAGTAAAAATGTATTATTATTAGAGTTCGAATTTATACTTATGCAGATTTATTCCAAGCAAAACATGTTTAAACCTGCCTCTGTGATCAGTGATTGGATACAGACAAGTTCTTTTAGTAATACACTTGTCTTAGTCTTGTTAGGATCTTCAGAAACAAGGGGTCGGGGGAGAGATACTTTTATGCCATGGGAAAAAAAATGATTTTGAGGTCAAGCCTAATAAAAAATTTTCACACACACAAAAAAGTAAAAACAGAGGACTTCTTTTATAAATGGTTTGACAGAGAATGAACTGACCATGTAATGTGAGTACTCAGATCTTTTTCACAGGTAGATTTCAGTTTATGCATACATAAACTGGTTTTCCGGTTCTTTCTATTCAATGAACTTTAGATCCTGCTGTATGTTCAAGGGTCTTTTATTTAAATATATCATTGTAAAAGGAGTCCTGGTGTGGTGCTGTGAGTTAATGCACCAGACTGCAAAGCCATTTGAACTGTAAGGTTGGCAGTTCAAGCTCACCTTATACAGGGTCACTATGGGTCGGAACCAACTCGACGGCACTTCACAACAACTACAATGGTTTGTCACCTTTATCAATTTAAAAACTGAGGCTGATTATTTCGTTTCTGGGCACAAACTTCATTTATAAAATTTACTACCATTTTTTTCTAAGACTACCAGGCTAAACAGATCTAACATCAATCACATCTTTGTTGACTTGAAATAAAAGACACTTAGTACTAAGAAGGTTCTAAGTGATGCTTGGATTGAGAGGGGGGAAAAGGCACTAAGATTCTGCACCACTCTTCTTGACAAAACCTGACCACACTCATTCTTCCTTTTATACTCTGGAGAAGGAGGAAGGGAGAAAAAGAAGAAGGCAAGTTGGAAAGGGGACTGATATACCTCTGATGTGGTTTGTGTCTGCTAAAAAGGAGGAGAGTAGAATGAAATAACAAGAATAGTTTCTACTTCAAACAGTGGGGATACCAGGACTACATTACTGTTATTGTTCTTAGCAGACATTGAGTTGGCCCTCAAGCCATGGAGACTCCAAGCATGATGGGAGGAAGCACTGCGTGGTCCCACATAGTCCCGGAAACTCATTGTGAAATAGACTGTTGTGATCCAATGGCTGGTTTTCAGAGTAGATCGGCAAGGCTTTCTCCCTTGTCTGTCTTAGCCTGGAAGTTCCTCTGAAACATGTTCTGCATTAGAGACACACACAACCCCTCACACTGCAGGTGGTGAGTGTGCATAAAATGATTGGCCTGGAATTGAACTCAGGTCTCCTGCATGAATGGCAAGAATTCTACCACTGAACGACCACTGCCTTCTCTTAACTTACCCGCAAAAGTCTAATCATAAAGAACTGCCAACTTCCTCATTCCTATCCAATTAAAATACTACTGTTGCTGTGAGGTGTCATCAAGTCATTTGTGACTCAGAACAACACTGTGTACAACAGTAGGAAGCAATCCCCAGTCCTGCGCCAGCCTCACAATTATGGCTGAGCTTGAGTCCAGTGTTGCAGCCGTTGCATCAATTTATTTGAGGAACTTCCTCTATTCTGTGGACCCTCTGTCAGTCATGATGTGCTTCTAAAAGAACAGGTCCCTCCTAATAACATGTTCAGGACAGATCTGTCTCTTCTTCTGACTGATGTTGTTAAGTGCCATCAAGTTGGTTCTGACTCATAGCGACCCTGTATAGGGTTTCCAAGAAGTGATTGTTGAATTTGAACCACCGACCTTGCAAGTCAAACCAACCTTAAGGTTGAGTGCTTATCCTACAGTGCCACACCAAGACTCTTGTTCTTCTGGAAGTCCGTGTAAATTAAGCATCTTCATCAACACCATGATTCAAATGCATCAATTATTCTATGGTCTTCCTTATTCACTGTCCAACTTTCATATGCATATAAGATGCTGAAACACCATGGCTTGGGTCAGGTGCACCCCAGTCCTCAAAGTGACATCTTGGCTCTTTAACACTCTAAAGAGGTCTTCTGCAGTACATCTGACCAATGCAGTACATCATTTGACTTCTTGACTGCTGCTTCCATAGGTGTTGATGGTAGACCCAAGTAAAATTAAATCCTTGACATCTTCAGTACTGTCTCCAGTTATGATGTGGCTTATTGATCCAGTTGTAAGGACATTTGTTTTCTATATGTTAAGATATAATTCGTACTACCACCACTAAAAATAATGACACTAACTAACATTTACTGAGTTCTTACCATGTGTCAGGCACCAAGTCCTTCACAAATATAATGCAATATTAACAACAACCTTATGTTGGAAGTATTATTATTCCCTTTTTACTGGTAAAGAAATTGAGGCAAAAATTATTAAAGTAGAAACCTAGTAATATTTTCTTTGTAACAATGGAAGAAGAGTACAGTGGAAAAGAAAAACAAGATAAAGTCAGGAAAACATGTCTGAGTTTTACTTTATCCATAAAAATATCATTGTTTAAAATTATAATACAAAAACCACATTTTTTATTTTCTACAATGCATTAATCAATTTACATGTGATTTATACACTTGCAACCATGACAAAATTTGAAAAAGTTCCAGTTAATTAACAGTAACTATGCTTACAGTACAGCATTCTGGTAGTGGCTACAAGTCGGGCTGCTAATCTAACAGTCAGCAGCTCAAAACTACCAGTGGCTCCATGGGAGAAAGATGAGGCTTTCTGCTCCCACAAAGATTATAGCTCGGAAACCCTGTACAGGGTCGCTATGAGCTCGAACCCGCTCCACAGCACATGAACACTACCACCATACTTACAGTGCCTGCCTCAGCATCCCACATCAAATCTTTGAAGGCCAGTTGTGATGGAGTGAGCTCTGGTTGTAAGAAGTAACTTGCTCGAAATTGATTCCCTGCAAGAATAATTTTTTCCTTTATTTTCTTACAAAAATGTAATGAAATACAAAACCTCATGATGTTATGTTATAAATTTAGGAAACATTCTAAAATGCCAAGGCATTTGCTTTCCAAAATGGATGAACCCACATAGATTTACACCTTCAAACATCAGTAGGAAACTTACAGACTTAAGCACATAGAGCTAATCTTAAAAGAGCCTGAAGAAAGACCTTACAGATTTTTGGACCAATAACCTACCCCATGGTGAATGAGATCTACTTTTGTAAATACAGAAGTCTATAACCACCTCTTGGTCAGTTTAACAAAAGTAGACAATCATTAGTTTCACTTCTTAACACAAAAGTATTTTTATACTCTTCTTTTAATACTTCAGTCATGAAGAATACTTTATTACAAAATGACGTACTTATTCATTCTCTAATCTATGCTGCCAGGTTCTGTGCTGGTGGTGGTGGTGGTCATGTGCTGTGGAGTTGGTTCTGACTCATAGTGACCCTATATAGGGTTTCCAAAGCTGTAATCCTTTATAGGAGCAGAAAGCCTCATCTTTCTCCCACAGGGTGGCTAGTAGATTCCAAGTGTTGACCTTGCGGTTAGCAGTTCAACTCATAACCCACTCTATGCTGTTATTTTTGTTAAGCACTGTAGAGTTAGTTCTGACTCATCGTGACCCTGTATAAGGTTTCCAAGGAGCAGCTTGAGAGTTTGAACCACAAACCTTGTGGTTAGCAGTCCAGAAGGTTCTATGCGAGGAGCTAGCAATTCAACTGTGAATCAGAGGAATATGGCCCTTGATCTCAATAGCTTATGACCGAATAAAGGAAACAACAACAACAAAAAAGTAGACAAGAAAATAAAGTAATAACCGACTAAGCTGTAAAAGGTGAGGAACAGAGGGGGCCTACATTATTCAACGAAGGCATCTCGGAGAATACGGAACTTATTGTAAGACCGAAGGGTGAGAAGGAACTAGGCTTACAGGGAGGGTTGGAGAGAGCAGGCCTCACAGAGACAACCTCACAGCTGCCTTTCCACAGATAACTCAACAACTCAGAGTACACAGAGGGCCTTCTCCTCCTGCAAACAGAAGTCCTCTTTAATATGACCTAAGCGTAGTGGTTACAAATCGGGCTGCGAACTGCAAGCTCAGCAGTTTGAAACTACCAGCCGCTCTGCAGGAGAAAGATGGGGCTTTCTGCTCCAGTAAAGATTTACAGCCTCTGAAACCCTGTACAGGGTCGCTATGGGTCGGAACCCACTCGACGGCACTTAACAACAACAACAATGCACCCAAGTGGCCAGGTACCAGGCAACCAAGGAATAAATGAGAAATCAGAAATCGCAAATGGAGGTAACTCTTTGGGAAAATCTTGCTTTTCAGAGTAGAGAAATAGGGCAGCTTTAAGTAACATGGGTTAGGATGTGAGGGCATTTGTTCTTAATGGTGGGCAGTATCATGCATGCTAGTACTGCAGATGAAAATGAGGGGTGGGAGAAGCATACAGAGACCAATGATACAAGGAAAGAGCTGATAATAAAAGAAGTCATAATTTTTTTTTTTTTTTTTTAAAGGGTAAGGCCAGAACCCAGATCACAGGTGAACTGGCTGGTCTCAGAAAGGCCAGGACCACCACTCAGCTAGCATGCTGAGGGGTCAAAATGCTAGTTATCTGGGCAGTGTCGAGCTTATTTTGATTTCAAGAAAGAATTGCTTTGTCTTTTTGGACTGAACATAATTTACCTGAAGATAAACTGCTGGAAATCTGAAAGATGCAGAAAACAAGAACTGCAAGTAACTTAGAACCTGAGGTTATTTCTCTAACAGAAACTTAAGTTCTAAGTCAATCCGTCTTCTTGAGATCTTCTTTTTTGCTGACCCTCCACTTTCCCTTCTCCAGGGACTGGTCACTCCTAACAATATGTCCAAGGTAGAGAGACAAAATCTCACCATCCTAGTTTCTAAGGAGTATTCTGGCTGTAGTTTTTCCGTAAGATTTGTTTGTTCTTCTGGCCATCCATGGTACTTTCAGTATTCTACTCCAATACCATTATTCAAATGCACCAATTCTTCTATGGTTGTTCTTATTCACTGTCCAACATTCACATGTATATGAAGTGATTGAAAATAGCATAGCTTAGGTCAGGCACACCTCATTCCTCAAACTGACATCCCTACTCTTCAACATTCTAAAGAGGTCTTTCAGAGCAGATTTGCCTGATGTAATACGCCACATGATCACCTGACTGCTACTTGTATGAGCAGTGATTGTGGATTCTAGCAAAATGATGTCACTGACCACTTCAATCTTTTCTCCGTTTATCATGATGTTAATTATTGGTCCAGTTGTAAGGACTTGCTACCTTCTTATTCATATAATCCATCTTCTCGGATGATCTGCTAGAATACAACCTTGATGAACAACTTTCCTGATGTTAAACCATTCAGTGTCCCCTTGTTCTGCTTGAACAATTGTCTCTTGGTTCCTCATAAGCACAATTAAGTATTCTGGAATATCCATTCTTCACAATGTTATCCGTAGTTTGTTATGATCCACACAGTAGAAAACCTTTGTCTACTGAATGAAACACAAATAAATACCTCTCTGGTATTCTCTGCTTTCAGCCAAAATCTATCTGATGTCAGTGATAATATCCCTCATTCTCTGTTCTCTTCTAAATCTGGCTTGAACTTCTGGAAGTTCCCTGTCAATGTGCCTTTCTTTGGAATGGACGCAAATATGGATCGCTCCCAAATTGTTTGCCAAATTTCTTGGCATAGATGAGTGAGCACTTCTAGTGCTGCATCAGTTTGAAACATTTCAATTTTTATTCTGTCACTTCCTGGAGCTTTGTTTTTCGCCAATGCTGTCAGTGCAACTTGGACTTCTTTCTTCAATACATTGGTTCTTTTTTTTTTTGGCTGGGTAAGTGTACTTTATTGATGGTACATGACAAGGTTGGGCTCGCTAAGCCCATTCCCTTCTCCAGGGAATCTGGTGGAAAACTCTGTGGAGGATGGGAGCTTCTCAGTGTGTTGGGAGATCGAACTGGAACAAGGACTCCCCAGAAGCCAAGAGCCCCTCTCATTCTCTAGTGCTATTGCTGGAGCTAGTAGTCGAGGGGACTCTTATTCCTTGGAGGCCAAGGACTCTTATTCCAAAAGGTCCACCACCTGTTGCTGTAACCAAATTCATTGTCATTGAGGGCAATGCCAGCCCTAGCATCAAAGGCAAAAGAGTGGGTATTACTGTTAAAATCATAGATATCCTGGTCTTCAGTGTAGCCCTTGTAGGGGGCCATCTGATACTTGCTTCACCACCTTCCTGATGTCATTGTGTTGGCAACTTTCTCCAGACAGCAGGTCAGATCCATGACGGAAACATTGGGAGTGGGCATGAGGAAGGCCATGCCAGTGAGTTTCCCATTCAGTTCAGAGATGACCTTGCCCACAGCCGTGGCAGCACCGGTAGATGCAGGGATGATGCTCTGAGCACACCACGGCCATCACACCACAGTTTCCCAGAGGGGTCATCCACAGTCTTCTGGGTGTCAGTGATGGCATGGACTGTGGTCATGAGTCCCCTCCATGATGCCAAAGTTGTCATGGATGACCTTAGCCAGGGGACCAAATATTTGGTGGTGCAGGAGGCATTGCTGACAATCTTGAGGGAGTTGTTCACGCCCATCACAAACATGGGGCCATCAGTAGAAAGGGCAGAGATGGTTACCTTTTTGGGACCACCCTTCCAGTGAGCCCCAGCCTTCTCCAAAGTTGTGAAGATACCGGTGGACTCTCCACAACACTCAGCACCAGCATCACTTGATGTTGGCAGGATCTCACTCCTGGAAGAGAGAGATGGGCTTCCCATTGAGAACAAGCTTCCCATTCTCAGACTTGACAGTGCCACTGAACTTGCTATGGTGGAATCATACTGGAACATGTAGACCATGTAGTTGAGGTCAAAGAAGGGTCACTGATGGCAACAACCTCCAGTTTGCCAGAGTTAACAACAGCCCTGGTGACCAGACGCCCAATACGGCCAAATCCATTGACATCAACCTTCACCATCCTGTCACAGAGATGCGGCTGGGGCTGCAAGAGAAGATGAGGGAGGAGTGGAGAGCCAATACATTGGCTCTTAATCATATGGCACCTCTTGAAATGATTGAACGTTGACCAATTCATTTTGGTACAATGACTCTGTATTCTTTTCACTTTTTTTTGATGTTTCCAGCATCATTCGATATTTTGCCCATGAACCCCCTCAATATTTCAAGTTGAGACTGGAATTTTTTCTTCAGTTCTTTCAGCTTGAGAAATGCTGAGCGTGTCCTTACCTTTTGGTTTTCTAACTGCAGGTCTTTGTACATTTCATTGACTTTGTCTTCTTGAGTTGCTGTTTGAAATTTTCCATTCACTTTAGCATCTTTACATGGAAGTGCTCAAATCTCAGTGTCTTCTGACATCCACTTTGGTTTTCCTGTCTTTTTTATTACTGACCTTTTACTTTCTTCATCTATGATGTTCTTGATGTCATCCCACAACTCTTCTGGTCTTGTGTCATCAGTGTCTAATGCATCAAATCTGTTCTTCAGATGGTCTCTAAATTCAAGTAGGATATAGTCATGGTCATATTTTGGTTCTTGTGGATTTGTTTTAATTTTCTTCAGCTTCAGCCTGAACTTACATATGAGCAATTAATGGGTCTGATCCACAGTCAGCCCCTAGCCTAGTTTTAGCTGATAATATTGAGCTTTTCCATTATCTCTTCCACAGACATAGTCAATTTGGTTCCTGTCTATCCCCTCTGATGAGGTCCATGTGTACAGTTGCCTTTTGTGTTGTAGACAAAGATATTTGCAATTAATAAGGCATTAGTCTTGCAATATTCTATCATGAAATTTCCAGCAACGTTTACACCACCGAGGCCATATTTTCCAATTATTGATCCCTCCTCTCTGTTTCTACCTTTAGCATTCCAATCACCAGTCATTATCAATGCATCTTGAAGAAGTTAGTAGAATTCTTCAATTTCAACGTCACTGACTTCAGTGGTTAGTATATAAATTTAAATAATAGAGCATACACTTGATACAATTCCTCTTCAATTTGTACTCCCAGCACAGTAAACCAAGTGATTGTGTGATTCAAAATGGCCAATACCAGACCATTTCAGCTCACTAATACCTGATATTTTACATACCCTTTAAAATGCAAGATCTTTATGTGTTCCATTTCATTTTTGATGACTTCCCATTTTTTGAGATTCATACTTTGTACATTCTATATTCTGACTATTAATGAATGCTTGCAGCTATTTCTCATTTTGAGTTTTGCCCCTATAGTAAATAAAGGTCTTGAAAGCCTTACCCTATCCATATCATTAAGGTCGACTCTACTTTAAGTAGATAGCTCTTCCCCAGTTTCATTCTGAAGGTCTTTAAACTGAGAGGATCATCTTCTGGCACTACATCCAATAATATTCCACTGTTAGTGATAAGATTTTAAGTGAGTAACTACTCTACCTTTCCTCTGCCTAGTCTGTCTTCATCTGGAAGATCCTCTGAAACCTGTCCATCATGGGTGACACTGCTGGTATTTAAAATACCAGTAGCATAGCTTCCATCATCCCAGGAACACATAAGCCACCAAATACAACAAACTGACGGATGTGTGGTGGAAGGGGTAGTGTGGGACAATAATTAAAGATGAGGCTTTCTACTCCTGTAAAGATTTACACCCTCGGAAACTCTGTACAGGGCCGCTATGGGTCAGAACCGACTCAACGGCACTTAACAACAACAACAAATTATCTCACATTACTTGTATAACTTTAAAAAAAATCCCAGTTCTGTAAAACTCAAAGACCAGCTATAGAAGCTGATGATTTAGAATAAACACTGGCTGAGACATAAAAAAAAAAAAGAATAGCCTATAAATAAGTAATCACCCTCTTCCTTATTTCATCAACTAGCAGTTTACTACAGATACCATCTCTAGCATTCTTCCCATCTCTAAAATTATATATGTCATTTTTCAAGTATGGGTAAGAATTTATTCCATGAGAAAGAAAAGATAATCTACCTTAAGGTAATACTCATATAAACCTATTTTACATACTCTTTAAACTGAAATAACTATATTTAATGTACCAATCACAGTGCATTTGTAATAAAGAAATCACAAATGGACTTGTGATCTCTTAAAATATTATTATAAATACACGAGCAGACATGCGCTTTGATTGGTAACCACGTTCGTCACCGATAAGGGGAAGTGAGGGAAAAACAAAAATGAAGCTGCAAGCTAAGCCCTACAACATTCAATAGACTCCTGTGAACCCGGGTGGAAACCTGGATGGCCAGCAGTGTGGCAAGACCTGGGGACTCTTGGGCCAAGAGTCAGTGACATAGCCACAGAGGACTAGAGTGGAGAGTGAAGCTTCCAGCTGATAAGAAGAAAGGGCATATGCATAAGAACACTCACTTGACCTGGCTTCAATGACTGGATGATCAGAACTCAACTAGAAGAAGAAAGAAGAGGAAAAAAAGAGAGCTCTGATACAATTTGATGAACTTAACCTACACCTATGGATGCAGTAGCTCAAAAGAGGGAACAAATCTTTACAGTGAGGATAATTCCCACTCCCTCTATACACAGAGTAGACAGGTATGGGCAACTTGGACATTGATACCCAAAATGGGGGTGGCAGGACTACAAAGGCAAGAAGTGACTGGCTTACAAGCTTTCAAGAGGGAGCCTAGATCCAGAGGGCGCGAAGGAAGGTAGAATCTCCACTGAGTAGTGTCCAATCTGTAGGGCCCTACTCAGAGAAACAGTGATGCCAGAGATGGAGGCAGAGATGATGACGTGGAGCGATGCAGCAGCTGGGGACTCTAGACCCAGAGAGGGAGAGGGGCTATGTGCTGACGACTTGCAGGCAGGCTTGCAGGGTATACCTTTTGGTTGGTTGATGATGCATGGAGGGGAGTGTAACCATGGCAATGGAACAATATACAATAGGATGAATGTAAAGCTAATGTTCTCCCATGTAAACTATCACATTAAAACATATAATCACAAAAAACTATCACAGTAAAACATTATATATATGTATATATATTATTATTATTATAAATCTAAAGCCATTTAGTAATTAATCTACCATATCCCTTTAAAGAAGACTTTAAAAATATATTTGCTTCCTACTGGGATTAAATGATACTGGTAAAACCTCCGACTCACACAGCACTATAGGACAGACCAGAATTGTCCCACAGAGTTTCCAAGGCTGTAAACCTTTATGAAAGTAGACTGCCACATCGTTCTCCTACAGAGAAACTGGTGGGTTTGAATTTTTAACCATTGTGTCACCGGGCTCCTGTTTTGGTTATGACAGAAACATTAGACTTAATCCTTGACTGCTGTACTAAAAGTGTGAGGTGCTGACCGACCCACGTTACCTTCCTCCAGAAGCTGGGAGAGTGTGGAAGGTCGGAATCCTGCAGGAATAGCTCCCATGGTAGTTAGCACATCAACAGTGCTTATCTGCTGAAAATAGTAAATAACAAAACTGACTTGCTTATGTTCATTCATGTTTCCTCACCTCTAGGACACTTTCTTCTTACCACTCTAGTAAGTATAGCCCCCAAAAGGAAAGCACAAATGCCCAGACCTTAATAGAAGAAAGAATACAGCACTATAACCCCCAAATTCCTAAGAGGCTGTCATAACTGAGTCCTGGTCTCTCTAGGACCGAACTCCCATGCAGAGACCAATGTACAAAGCTCTGTTTCAGACCAGCTGTTTCCTGAATATCCCTTCCACAAAGGACTGCCATGAGATGAGATGACTTCAGAGCACAGCCTAACATGCACTGAGGAAATAATGGCTTTCATGTGTCTGGTACAGACACACACACACACACACACAAACATAAGGTGGTGGTTATGTGCCATGGAGTCGGTTCTGACTCATAGCTACCCTGTATAGGGTTCCTCAGGCTGTAAATCTTTACAGGAACAGAAAGCCTCATCTTTCTTTCACGGACAGCCACAGCCAGTAGTTTTGAAGTGCCAACCTTGCAGTTATCAGCCCAACTCATAACCCACTACACTACCAGAGCTCCTTGTATGAGTTACAAGCAGAATAAACTGTTAGGAAGTAGAGAAAGAGAGAGTAGATGGAGAATTTTCATTTTCTTACATCAATTTTTATATGATAGGATTCTGGACGGCTGTTTTTTCGAGCTCTCAACATTTTCTAGACAGTAACTGAAATTTAATAGCAAGCATCATCCAAATGATAGGAAATTCAGGCAGAATCACTGAGAGATATTCCCAAGTCCTGAAATCATACCAGGCATGACAGTATTTACTCTTCTTATGCAGTAAGAAATGTTACTTGCAAGACAGGCTTACTAGACAAAATACATGTGTTATATACTCTTTACTTTTGATGCTTTGTATCTTATTTAAGAGCTAAAGCTACCTCCTAAAATCTCCACCTTGGTTTGAATCAGAACTTAATCAGAACTTAGCAACAAGATACCAGTAACAAAAAAGGAGATACCAACCTCTGAGATAGCTTTTCGAACAGCACTCCAATGAGAATCATTTCTAAGGAGGCAAAACCACAAGATGAGTGTAGACTGATAAAAGAAACTTCATTAATCAAGGGACAAAATACTTCACCATCAGTAGGTTCTGAAAACCTAGAAGCCTATCTAGTGACACCAAAATAGAACAATAGTATGCAGTAAATATAATCACAAAAAATTAAAGTCATAGTGATCTTTTAAGTTAAACAATAATATGATACTGTTCTCAAGGCACAAGGTTTCTCCATTTCAAGAAACTCTTAAGTTATAAAGCAGTAAAACTAAATAAAATATTTCCTAGCCCTACTTTAATAGTCTCTCAGTCTTTGATTTTACCTTTTCTTAACTTCTGCTCCATCAGCTGTTTCATCCATGACCTCCACATCTTCTTCACTGCCTTCTTCACTGGACTCTAGACCTTTTTCTTTATTATTGGGCTGAAAATAATTAAAATATGAAGCACTTTATAACAAATGCAAAAATCAATACCCCCCTCGGGAAAAAAAAAAAAAAACCAATAGGCTCAGAAAAAGACCTAATTGTAGAGGAATATAAAAAATATGTTGTTGTTGTTATTAAGTGCCATTGAGTCAGTTCCAACTCATAGTAACCCCGTATAGGGTTTCCAATGAGTGCTTGTGTGTTTGAGCCACCAACTTTATGGTTAACAGTCCAGTGCCTACAGTGCCACACCAGGACTCTGTCAAAAAAATGATGTGCATATAAAAAATTCATTGGTGAAAAATTTTCAACACATGATTGATAGTCTTATTATTTGGAAAAATTATAAGGATCTAGGTAGAGATCAAGTTTAATCAAAATAAATTCAAGATGAGATTTACTGCAATACCAAAACAGATAAACAGATGAAGAAATATAAAAAAGACAAAGTACTAGAAAAGTGTTAGAAGACAATAATCATGAGATAAAGAACCCCTTCTCAATTATTACCTCAGAAATAAACAGGAACACAAGCAGATCAAGCAGCATAAAAAATAAATGTCTTTGAAAGATAACAAAAAAAGTATATGCCACAAATTTCCAAGGCTCTGTAGGATAAGCACTGGACTGCGAACCACACGGTTGGCAGTTTGAGCCCACTAGCTGCTCAAAGAGAGAAAGATGAGGCTTTCTATTCCAGCTAAGATTTCTGCTCCAGCCTCAGAAACCCTCTAAGAGTTAGAGCTGACTTGACGGCATTTAACAACATGTTACTATTAAGATTCTGAGGTCCTGGCATGGCACTGAAGGATAAGCACTGGAATGCTAACTGCAAGGCTAGTGGTTCAAACCCATCAGCTATTCCTTGGAAACCCTATACAGGGTTGCTATCGGTTGGAACTAACTTGATGGCACTTAACAACAATAACAACAATTAAGATATTGCAAAACTTCTTATAAACTATAAGAAACAGGTTTTTTAAATTTTTTAGAAAATGACCAAAAGAACTAAAATGGAAACTAACAAAAAAAGAAGGACAAATGGTCACAAGGCAGATGAAACGATGTCCAATCTCACTAGCAGTATAATAAATGCAAATAAAAACCATGAGACTTTTTTGCCAGTCACATTGGCAAAAACGAGAACAACTGGCACCAGTCATCACTGGCATATGTCCTGATGTCGTGGCTGGGAGTATAAATTTTGAAAGGCAATACAAAGGTTGTTGTTGTTGTTGTTATGTGCCGAGGAGAAGGTTCCAACTCATAGCCATCCTGTACCAGGTTTCCGAGGCTGTAAATCTTTATAGGAGCAGAAAGCATCATCTTTCTCCCACGGAACAGCTGGTAGTTTCAGCCTGCTGACACGAGGTTAGCAGCCTGATTCGTAACCACTACTCTACCAGAGTTCCTTAATACGAAGTTAGAAGCCTTTTATAATAGTCAACTGATGAAAGAAGACAGCACAATGTTTTATTAACAAAGTAAAGTTTTGAAGGAGAAGAGCGAAAGGACAAACTACAAACACTAACCTCCAGGTAGGTTCTGGGAACAAGACCTGTATTTCCTTGGGTGTTCTTCGCTATCCACCAACCATCAGGCTTCTTTTCAACGACTATGAGAATCTCCCTTTTCTTAACGCAATAACAAGTAAAAATTAAAAAAATAAAGCTCAACAGTCATGGGGTATATTTTACTACTAATGCTTCAAAAATATATACTGAAGAAAAGACATTTAGACTAATTGTTATCAAAAGCTTCCCCACATGCTACCTCTATATCAGATGTGACTATAAATGAATGATTTCTTGGTGATAAAGTTATTTTAACACACACTCAAGTCATATATTCAAATAGGAACCATCCTTTACAGCCACTTTTAGGGGTCCAACACTTATTCCAATAATTCATTCATTGTGCAAAATACTTTTTGAATCTCACTATAGAAATATGTCTTTCAGAAGCAGTATAATATAAGTTCCCAAGCAAAACCAATTCTATTAAAGTTAAATCTTATTTTGAAGCCAAAATATTTGAAGTATAAAATTTCCCTAGCAGCAGAGCTTCCTGGGACCATCAAGTGAGAAGAGCGGAGTGCAGGACCCTACCCAGAGAACCAGTGACACCAGAAATGGAGGCAGAGACAATGACATGGAGAGATGGAGCAGCTGGGGACTCGGAATCAGGGAGGGAGAGGGGCTGTGTGCTGATGGCTGGGGGGCAGGCTTGCGGGGGTGTACTTTTTGGTTGTTCGATGATGCATGGAGGGGATTGCAATCATTGCAATGAAATGAAATACAATGGGATGAATGTAAAGCTGGTGTTCTCCCATGAAAACTATCACATAATTCACAATAAAAACTGACAAAAAAATTTGCCTAGCATACTTTATAAGCACTGGATTGCTAACCACAAGGTCAGCAGTTCAAACCCACCAGCCACTCCCCAGAAACCCTATACAGGATTGCTAAGAGTCAGAACCAACTTGATGGCACTTAATAACAACAATTTATCAGATATGTTTTGAATAACACTTGTCCATTTAGAAAAGTACAATCTATCTTTGAGGAAGAATTTCCTCCACTGAGAACATTCAAAAGCAAACATTTATAATATGTATTATTGTCCTACACTGATGATATCTTCAAAGAGAACTTAAAAAAAAAAACAAACCCTAGGCACTAAAAACTAAAATTAGCTGCACATATTCCTGTATATTTTACTATTAATCAGTTGTTAAACTGTGAAGCTTCATAAGTATAAGGATCAAGATTCATGAAAATTTCTTTGGTTCGTTTCTCTAGAAGAAAACATAGCCTCAAACAAATATCTTTATTCTTCTATTCCACCTGCAACCTATACACAGCCAAGAATGTGTGGGTACACAGGACGAAAATGAATAAATCAATTCCTCATAAAGTCCCTTCCATGCTGAATCAACCAGAATACTTGCTACATAACAACAACATGCAGTGTTCCCTTCAGCCTCTAGATACACACACTGACCTAATTTTATCTAAATAAATATATACATATGACAATCAAGAGTAAATTGTAAAAATTTACCCTTAATTATGAACTATCAACATTAAAGTTTATTTTAAAAAAAAAGGGTGGGGGAGCATGTGCTCTTGTACCATTTTTACCATCAGGGACTTTAGAAATAGAGTCTCTCATATTATTGTTTTTGTTAAGTGCTATGGAGTCTGTTCAGACCCATAGCAACTCTGTATAGGGTTTCCAAGGAGCAGCTGGTGAGTTTGAACAGCTGACCTTGCAATTCAACGGACCCTGGGGGGGTCAAGTGCTTATCCTACAGTGCTACACCTGGACTCATACTATAACAGCCTGGTCAAGCCTAATAGCTACTTATTTTATTTCAACAGAATGAACCTTTTAAAATATAAAGTCTAAAAATTTAACACCAGAAATATGTAAGCATACAAACCAAGTTTTCTTATTCTATTAGGTATACTAATTTGTCCCTACATGATATTCCAGTTTTGTTTCTACCTACCTTGAATGTAAGATCCCCAACTTGTTCAGCAGTAAAATCTCCAACAGCAATATATTCGTTATTTGCTGTCTCTGTGTGAGAATCATTTTCCTGTCTGTCTTCTTTTTCTGTTCCTTTTTCCTCCTCACCACTTTCTTCACTGTCTTCTTCATCTTCCTCGTCTTCCTCTTCTTCATTTTCTTCCTCCTCCTCTTCTTCAGTAGAATCATTATCATCTCTTTCAGTAAGTGTTCCAATTCTACACAAAAATATCTATATGACTAAGATCATTTGAAGTAACATACAAGAATAGACCAAGTATAATTTCTATATAGGACTGACTCAAATTTGGGGCTGACAGATAAAGGAATTAGGGGGATATACAACTAATCTTCTCCACCATCTAGCTAAGAATATGTGACTTGAGAGGCTGACACAGGAGAAGGAGATAATGTATCTATTTATTCCTAACAATCTTTTGTGCTATTGTCATGCTAGTGTTTTCAAAGATTTTATTTCTATGTATGTTATATATCCCTATGCATGTATTTTTTGCTTTATACAACCTTCTTTTAAAAACATTTAGAAAGAAGAGAGACTAACAAATGCACAATAGGCTTTTATTTTTACATATAAACCAGCTCTTCTTTCCTTCCTAAAAATCCCTGTTTCTATGTGGTTATCATTTGTCTCTGTTGTTAACTGCTGTTGAGTCGATTCCGACTTATGATGGCCCTGTATAGGGTTTCTAAGGAGCGGCTGGTGCTTTGAACTGCCAACCTTACAGTTCAAATAGAACTTTCAGCCCAGTGCTTATCATACAGTGCCACACTAGGACTCTAGCCCAAGAGAAATGATACCACAAAGAATTTTAGCATATCCTGTACTGCCGATTTGTTGACAACTAATTTTCTCAGCTTCTGTCTGTCCACAAATGTCTTTATTCCACTTTAATTTTTTTTGAAGGAATATTTTGGCTGGATATAAACATTTGGTTGACAAGTGGTTTTGCTTTTATTTATTTTCTTTCTTTCTTTCTTTCAATCCTTGAAAGATGTCACCGAACTGACTTGTATTGTTTCTAGTAAGATGTTAAATGTAATTCCACTTACTATTTTTCTGTCCATAGTTCTCCTGGCTGCTTTTGAGATTTTTTAATTTACCTTTCGTTTTCAAAAGTTTGACCATTATGTATGAATGTGTGATTTTCCTTATATTTAATTTGCTGGAGGCTCCCTAAAATCCACAGGCTGAAAGTTTCTTCAGATTTCCATTTTTAAGAAAAATTCAGTCATTATCTCTTTAAATATTTCTTCTACTGTATTCTCTCCTTTGTAACTTCAATTAAGTGTATAACTTTTGACTGTGACAAACATCTTTCTACATTCTGTTCTTTCTATTCCTTCCCCCTGCCCTGCCTTTTTGTGTATCAATTTTAATTTTTTTTTTTTATTAACTGTCTTTGGATTCACTAATTCTCCCCTCTGCTATATCCAGTTTTCTAGTAAGCTGCCCATTTTCTCCAGTGCACATATTGTATTTTTTTAGTTCCAGAATTTCCATTTTAGTATTGGGGGGGGGGGTTGTTTTGTTTTTAGTTTTCACTACTCTGTACAAGTGTACAAGTTTTTTTGTTGTTTGTTTTTTTACTTTTTATTGTGAATTGAGTGATACTTTACATGGGAGAACATCGGTTTTACATTCATTGTTTCATTATAATGATTATAATCTCTTCTGTGCATCATCATTCAACAGTATTTGCTTCTATTCCCTCTGTTTCGTTTTATTTTTGGATGTACACAAAAACATTCAAGAATATATAATCATTTAAACAACCAAAGGGCACATTCTGTAAGCCTGCCTCCTGGCCACACACAGCCTTTCTCTTTCCGTGAGTTTAGAGTCCTCAGCTGCTCTCTTTTTCCAGGCCATCATCTCTACCTCCATCTCTGGTGTTGCTGCTTCTCTGGATACAGTCCCACATTCCGCTCTTGCTCTTCTCCCTTAAGGTCCTAAAGTCTTTGACTGTAAGATAAACTACTCTCCCCTTTTTGTTATAAAACTTCTACCTTCACAGTTGTGACAATCACAATTAGTTATGAAAACAATTACTCACTATTGAATCACAAGAAATCTTATCCCCATCTCCTTTCACCAGACTCTGGAGCTCTCAGCCCCTATAAGAGCTTTCTATCTGGTCTTCTGGAATCACATCTTACACAGCTCCAAGAGTCCACTCAAGTTTCTGGGCTTCTTTCTCTACAGTTCCCTTCGCTCTGTCACCCTAACCCACAAATACCAATGACTTCAGCAACTCCAAACTTTGATTTTGGCCTTTGTAGTCCATTGAAACAGCTGTCCTCTACTTGTGGTCCACCTTCCTTAGGAAAAAGACCAGGGCAAACGCAGGTTTCATTATAGCACCCCGATAGCAAGTCTATCAGCAGCCTGCCTTGGTTGATGTGGTGAAATGAATTCTTTTATATGGCCTTTTGCCTTGCTTATTTTTTTAAATAAAAAAAAACCAGCCTGAGAGAGTTTCCCCCTAAATCCCAAACTAGAAGGTTTGTTACATGACCTGGGTGAGCTGTAAACAACTTGATATGATACTTTGTGTCTGACCCTGGGCTACATACAGCCTGCCCTGTGATTGGTATACACCTTGCAGGGATTGGTGAATATGAAATGTCCTTATAGAAGGAGCCTTCCAGATTTTGCTACACATTTCCTGATCCTAATCCTGAGTTGTAGATGGCTGATTTTGATCTTGAGTTGTATCCTGTTCCTGAATAAACCACTGAAAGGTCAGTATGGTCTATGAGTTCTGTGTGGCCATCACAATGGGATGTCAAAGCCAGACGAGAAGTAGAGACTGTCGTGGAAGACAGCTGGTGTCAGAACTGGACAGAAAGTTGGAAAGTGGCCTCCGCCTCTTAGGAATGAACTCTGCACTGATCCTGATTCCCATTACCCTACCGAGCTTAGATAGGTTCTGATGCTGCTGCTGCTACCATTCCACAATTGATGTGCAAGGCCTTCAGAAAGCTGTTCTGTATGCTTTGTCCAGGTTTCACAGTGATTCAGAGTGGGAAGATAAGTTTGATACCTGCTACTCTTTCATTCCTAGTACTGGAAATCATGGAAATTCTAGAACGCTTGCATATTCCCCAGAATATAATATAAAGAGCCTGAGAAGTTGATTTTTGCCTTTCCATCTAAAAACTGGGTTTGTTTATAAATTCTTCTTCCCAATTTGAAAGAGCTATTATTAGCATCAACTAAAGCAAAAGGGAGTCCTGGGGTGGCGCTGTGGGTTAATGTACCAGACTGCAAAGCCGTTTCAACTGCAAGGTCAGCGGTTCAAGCTTACCAGCTGCTCCTTGGAAACCCTATACAGGGTTGCTATGGGTCGGAATCAACTCGACGGTGCTTAACAACAGCAACAAAGCAGTAAAGGAATCCTGGTGTGGTGCTGTAGGTTAATGCTCTACACTGCAACGTTGGTTTGAACCTCAAGGTCGGCTATTCAAGCTCAGCAGCTGCTCCTTGTAAACCCTATACAGAGTCACTATGGGTCAGAACCGACTCAATGGCACTTAACAATGACAACAAAGCAGAAAAGAATGCATGAGTTTACCTCAAAAGTTTTAGAATATTTACGAAAGGGAGAACAATTCAAGTAAGACAGTCCAAATATTTTCAATTTATACATCGTTACAGAATCGCTTTTATTTTCCAACAGTTGTTTATTTAGCTTTTCAGATCTCTTTCACTTTGTTTCACCAGTTAAATTAGAAATTATTGTGGGCAGGAGCCAGGATTCATAACAACACTCTGCACACCAGAATGAAACACTGCCGGGTCCTGCGCCATGACTTACGTACGCTTCTCTATTCTGCTCATGGGAACTAACATAGTCTCTGACATATAATAAATATGGAGGGATTATGTTGTTACTATTGCTTGCCTATAATAAAATGAAAACACAGTTATGGGTCTTAACTGTGAGTTAAACATTAAAACTTTTGGTGATCTTAAAGAAAAGAGAACACATACTCAGTTATGTTTTCTCTGCTTATGGTCACAGCCAGTGCTTGTAGTTGGTGGGTTAACTTATCCAAAAGATTATGCTCTTCTACTTTTCTCTGTTGATAGTTCCCAACAGGTGCAGATTCATTGGCCTATGAGATAATATAAATCTATTTAACTAAAATTTTCATTTTCGTTTCCTATTATATTTATTTTGTAAGAAACAAGAAAACCAAGATAGTATTATTTTTTTTTTAAATGTCATACGATAAAGCAAATATTAAAATGAGACCACATATTATTTAGGGAAATAAGGATAATTGAAAAGAAATGTAGACAATTGAGTTAGAATGCAAACCAAATGACAAAACCTGAGTTTTGTTTTGTGAAGAAATAAGAAAGAGAGAGTCTTGGCTTCAACAGCAGACAGATTTATTGAGAATAAACCTGGGAGGGGGTACTCTAAATCGCCAAAAGAAACCAAGAGCCCTTTTGTTTCTTACAGACTTGGGTATTTCAGGCTGTGTGGTCCTAGGTACAGTTCTGGTGAGTTTCCAATGGGTGGGGTTATGGAGACTTTCCTGAAACCTACCAGGTCTTTTGGTGTAACAAAGACTTAAGCTTTCTGGAGACCGGAAGCTTAAGCAGGACTATATTCTTAAGCAGGACTTTATTCGGAACCACTTGGTGTAGCTACAATGCCATTTTGTTGATCAGGAGCAGGGTCCTTGTTAAATTGCAGACCCACCATAGTTAGTAAGGGATAAATTCCAAAGAGAAGGTCGACCTCAGAGACAATCCCAAGTTCAGCCACTTGTTTGTGGTGAGACATTGAGAAAGCTACTTTTTACCTTCCTGAGTCTCCTTCCTTATCTGTGGAACAGGAATAACTAGTTTCTAAAACTTAAGGTCCACTGGTCTGGTAACCACAAGGTCAGCAGTTCAAACCCACCAGCCACTCGTAGAAACTCTATATGGGGTCACTATGAATCAAAACCTACTTGATGGCACTTAGCAATAACAAAACTTAATGTCATGGAGTCCTGGTGTTCTTAAGTGCCATCCAGTTGGTTCCAACTCTTAGCAAGGACCACGGTTCAAACCCACCAGCTGCTCAGCAGAAACCCAGTGTTGCTATGAGTCAGGACCGATTCGACGGCACTTAACAACAACAAAATAAACTTAAGGTCAGTCTATTTCCTAAGTTGAATTTTATGTCATTGGAGAAAT